CCAGAAGCGCAGCGCCGCCCTCCTCGCCCTCGACGCCGCCCCTCGGTCCATCCTCGCACTGTTCTCGGATCCTAATGTTGTAAGTGAGCTACCGTTTTTTTTATTTTTTTAAAAAGAATTCGAAAATATACAAGTACATAATAATTATCACTCAGAACGCAAATGTACCAACTTGTTGAATTTTGCCATTTTTCTATATATCAACAAATTAAATGCTGATCATAAATTTGATTAATTAGGTGGGAAAAAAAGAAGAGGCCAAGCGGTGTGACGGTGGGAGCAACAAGCGCAAGCGAGGGTGGGAGTCGGATGATGAAGGAGATGGCACCCTGGAGCTCTTCCCTTTGCGTCCGGAGAGGGATTAGTTAGTTAATCCTCTTAATTAATTGTGTCCTTTTTAATTACTTTTTATTTTTGACTAGTTGAGGGGAGATGAGCTAGAGTTGAGTTGAGTTGATGATTCACTATTGATTTGTGTATTTATTATGTTATTTTTCCCCCCTGCTCGCCTGTAGCTTGATTGATCCTTGTCGCTTTGTACTGTGTTATTAGATCTTTTCGTCAGAGGTAGTGGTGGAAGAGCATGCTTGCTTAGGTTTGCTCTTTTCCAATACCCTAAACGGCCATCACCTTTTCCCCCCTTTCATATATAGCCCCCACTGCGCATGAAAATGCCCCAACCAGCTTTTAGAAATCCTTCAATGCCTCCACCTATAAACTGTACTTTTTATATATTGGGGATATTGCGAGAAGATCAAAGTAGAAATCAAAATCACTAAGCAAGAAAACTAATTTACCAAAAAAAAAAAATCATTCAAGATGAACTAAAAATAATAGAATTCGTGAGTTATATAGCTCATAAAAATTATAAATTTTAACATACATAAAATAAGTTCACGTTCCGTTCAAAATGAACCGCAATTAACAAGATTCGTACGTCGTAACTCATGAAAATCGTAGATTTTGATGTAAGCATAGTTTTTTACGTTCATTGTTGAAAATGAACTTAACTTGTCAAAAAATCATGGATTACAATGAATCAAAATCTTAAATTTTGATGTATACATAATAAATTTACTTTTGTTCTAGATGAACCAAAATTGACAAAAATCGTAAGCTCATGGAAGTTGTAAATTTCGATATACGCCTAGTAAACTTACATATATTCAAAACATACCAAAATTAAAAAATTCGTGGGGTATAGCTCAAGAAAATCACAAATTTTGCTGCACACAAAATAAATATATTTTTATTTGAAATTGTTGATGCTCGATATCAAACAGGCTATTAATCCAGAAGAGGATTGTTGCGGGGTGATGAAGGACGATGGAGGGCCAGTTCTCTTCTCCGACTTTATGCCTAGTTCTTGAACGAGGGCTTGATGTCCGCGCTGCACAGACATAAATAACTCGTGAGAGGGCGGGGACCGGTTCCCCCCGTGGTTCCTCCGACGATCAAGTCAGTTGATGAACATGAACTTGAGTGGAGTTTAGAACCATGTGTTCTTATGCTATGTGCATTAGAGATCATCGTCTCTCAGATTTGGGTCAGGAGGAAGATTTAGATTGCTATTCTCTTCTTGCTTTTTTTTAGGTTTA